GAAGATGCAGAGGATGGAGAAGAGCACGAGCACCACCAGGCAGATGATGAGCACGCCCCGGCACGAGGTGAAGTCGTACTTGGTCTGTGGGGAGGGGGATTGGTGGGGTCAGAGCCCGGGTGGAGCCCCCAGAGCCAGCAGGGAGCTCAGAGGGAGGGCTCAGCACCCTGCTCAGATCCCACAGACCCAGCAGGGAGCTGGGGAGGGCTGTACACCCCATCTGGGGTCCAAAGGCCCATGAGAGGAGATCCCACAGCCCCCCAGGAGCCCAGAGGGAGTCACTGGGATGTTGTACCCCCAGTCTGGAGCCCCCCAGGCAGGAGCAGGGGCAGCCCTGGCGCTGACCTGCAGGGAGAAGATGACCACGGTGAAGCAGACGACGACGGTGATGCCGACAGCCATGATGACAGCCTCGGTGTCATAGAAGCTGGCAATCATCCCCACCATGTAGGACAGGCTGACAGTCAGGATGGACTGGCAAGGCAAAGGGGTAACCCATCAGGCCTGTGTGCCCAGCCTGGCACCCACAAACATGCCATGTGCCCCCAACCCAGCACCCTAAATCCTCCATATGCCCCTGGTTCTGCACCCCCAAACCTGCCCTGTCACCCCACCCAGCTCCAAACCTGCCCCAAAACCTCCGTGGCGCAGCACCCCAAATCTGCCCCCTCAGCCTGGCACCTCCAAACCCTCTGTGTGCCCCTGGCTTGGCATCCCCAAACCTTCCATGTGACCCCAAGCCCAGCACCCTTAAACCTTCTGTGTGCCACTGGCTCAGCACCCCCAAACCCACCCCACGGTGGCACCCCCAAACCTTCCGTGGACCCCCAGCCCAGCACCCTTAAACCCTCTGTGTGCTCCTGGCTCGGCACCCCCAAACCTGCCCTGTCACCCCACCAGCTCCAAACCTGCCCCAAAACCTCCGTGGTGCAGCACCCCAGATCTGCCCCCTCAGCCTGGCACCTCCAAACCTGCCGTGTGCTCCCTGGCCTAGCACTCCCAAACCCACCCTACCAAGTGCCCCCACCATGGCACCCCCAAACCTTCCACGTGCCCCCTGACTCAGCGTCTCCCAACCCTTTGTGTGCCCCTGGCTCAGCACCCCTATACCCACCCCCACCATAGCACCCCAAACCTTCCATGGACCTCCAATCCCAGCATCCTTAAACCCTCTGTGTGTTCCTAGATCAGCACCCCCAAACCTGCCCCACCAAGTGCCCCCACTGTGGCACCCCTAAACCTTCCATGGACCCCCCAAACCAGCACCCTTAAACCCTCTGTGTGCCCCTGGCTCAGCATCCCCAAACCCACTATGGCACCCCCAAACCCTCCATGCGCCTCCAGCCCAGCACCCTTAACCCCTGCCATGCCATGCCCCTGGCCCAGGATGCCCCAACTCCCCAGCCCTTGCCATGCCGTGCCCCTAGCCCAGGATGCCCCCACTCCCCACACCCATCCAGCCGTGCCCCCAGCCCACCAGGGACACGAGGTTCCAGGGGTGCTTGCGGCGGAAGTCGCCGCAGCAGCTGAGGACGATGAGGGAGATGAAGAACACGGCGTAGGACACGTAGTACGTCCACACGTTGCGCTGCACGAAGCCCCGCACGCCTTTGACGAAGGTGAAGACGGTCACGAAGGCGAAGGTGACGGTCAGCTGCAGCGTGAGCACCAGGAACACCTGGGGACGGGGGGCAGGGTCACAGGGGGGTCCCCCAATGCCCCGTACCCCGCCCCGAGGCCCCCGTGTCCCACCTTGCGGATGAAGGCCTGCCGGATGCTCTTGTCGTCCCAGTGCGCCGACGGGAAGTCCTGGTTGTCATAGTAGGAGGGGGGCCCGTCCTCGTGGTAGGTGCTGTGCAGGGGGGCTGTGGGGAGGGGGCACACTGCTTGGGAGGGTCCCAGGAGCCATGGGGAGTGTCCCCCAAAGCCAAGTATCACAGCTGGCATGGCTCGGGGCAGTGTCACCCCTCCCGGGGTCACAGCCAGTGCCATTCCCAGTGGGCATGGTCCCCCAGAATGTGTGGGACAGCAGCCAGGAGCCATGGGGAGTGCCCCACAAAGCCAGGTGTCACAGCTGGCATGGCTCTGGGCAGTGTCCCCCCTCCCAGGGTCACAGCCAGTGCTGTCCCCAGTGGGCACAGTTCCCCAGGATCTGTTGGGAAGGAGCCACGGGGAGTGGAGCTCTGTGTCCCCCAAAGCCAACTGTCACAGCTGGCACGGCTCTGGGCATGCCAGCACCATCCCTGGTGGGCATGGTCCCCCAGGACATGTGGGACTGCAGCCAGGAGCCATGGGAAGTGCTCCACAAAGCCAGGTGTCACAGCTGGCACGGCTCAGGGCAGTGTCCCCCCTCCCAGGGTCACAGCCAGTGCCATTCCCGGTGGGCGTGGTCCCACAGGATGTGTGGGGCAGGAGCCATGGGGAGTGGAGCTCTGTGCCCACCAAAGCCAGGTGTCAGAGCTGGCATGGCTCGGGGCAGTGTCCCCCCTCCCAGGGTCACAGGCACTGCCATTCCCCGTGGGCACAGACCTCCAGCTGCCCCCCAGGACATGTGGAGCAGGAGCTATGGGGAGTGGTGCTCTGCGTCCCCCAAAGCCAGGTGTCACAGCTGGCATGGCTCGGGGTAGTGTCCCCTCCCAGGGTCACAGGCACTGCCATCCCCCATGGGCAGAGACCTCCAGCTGCCCCCCAGGACATGTGGGACAGCAGCCAGGAGCTACAGGGAGTGCCCCACAAAGCCATGGGTCACAGCTGGCATGGCTCTGGGCAGTGTCACCCCCATCCCAGGGTCCATCCCCAGTGGGCACAGTCCCCCACATTCTGTGGGACAGCAGCCAGGAGCCACGGGGAGTGGAGCTCTGTGCCCACCAAAGCCAGGTGTCACAGCTGGCACGGCTCTGAGCAGTGTCACCCCTCTCCCAGGGTCACAGCCAGCACCATCCCCAGTGGGCACAGTCCCCCAGTGGGCACAGTCCGTCCCCCCCCCCCCCCAGTCACACAGATGTGTGGGACAGGAGCCACAAGGAGTGGAGCTCTGTGTCCCCCAAAGCCATGTATCACAGCTGGCACGGCTCTGGGCAGTGTCATCCCTCACAGGGTCATAGCCAACACCATCCTCAGTGGGCATGGTCCCCCAGCTGCCCCCCAGGACATGTGGGACAGCAGCCAGGAGCCATAGAGGGGTCCCTGCTGCCCCACTTGAGCCCCCTGATCTGCCAGACCCCCCGCTGTCTGTGCTGCTCCCCCTTCAAGAGAGCCCCCCAGGGATTCCCTCAGTGCCCAAACCCAGGGGCTGCCCCACACACCTGAACCTCCCCCCAGCCTCAGACAGGAGCCCAGGTGTGTCACACACCCCCATGTGACAGCCAGGAGGGTCCCCCAGCCCATTTGCAGCCCTCCACCCCCCTTTTCCCGGTACTTACAGTCCTGGTCTCCGGGGACCATGGGCTGGGGCTGGGCATAGGGCGGCTGCCCATAGGGGCCCTGGGGGTAGGGCCCGGGCGGGGGGTACGGCCCGGGGGGGTACGGCCCGGCGGGGGGGTACGGCCCCGGCGGCGGGTACGGCCCCGGCCCCGGCGTGAAGCCCGGCTGCGGGTAGGGCGTGGGGCCAAACTGGGGCTGGGGGTACGGGGCCACGGGGTACGGGGGCTGTGGGTACGCTGGAGGGGCCGTGGGCGGCTGCTGGCCCCCGAAACCGTCGTTCGTCACCAGGAAACTCTTCTCGTGGGACATGGTGGCGCGCAGGCTGCGGCCGCCTTGGTGCTGTGGGGGGAGACAGGGGGTTAGAGATGGTGGCGTCGTCCTCCATGGCTGTCACCCACGTCCTCATCACCCCTCATAGCTTTCATCCCCCTCGTCTTCATCCCCCCCAGTACAGCCATCAGACCCTCATGGCTGTCCCCCCACAGCTATCACTCTGTCCTCAGTAGCCACACGTGGCCTCCTTCCTCATCACCCCCCCATGGCCATCATCGGCCCCCCATGGCCATCACCCTCCAGTGGCCATCACCTTCCCACTGCTATCACCCCCTTCCTCATCACCCCCAAGGCCATCATCCCCCCATGGCCATCACCTTCCCACAACTGTCACCCCCATCCTCATCACCCCCCCATGGCCATCATCGGCCCCCCATGGCCATCAAACCCCCCATGGCCATCATCCTCCCACTGCTGTCACCCCCATCCTCATCACCCCCACGGCCATCAGCCCCTCATGGCCATCATCAGCCCCCCATGGCCATCACAACCACCCCGGGGGTCCTGACTGGGAGATACCCCAGGATGGGGGTCCCTCACTCAGGGATGCCCCAGGGTGGGGGTCCCTCACTCGGTAATGCTCTGGGATGGGGGTCCCTTGCTCAGGAGATGCTCTGGGATGGGGGTCACTCACTCGGGGGATGCCCATGATGGGGGTCCCTCACTTAGGGGATGCCCCAGGATGGGGGTCCCTCACTCAGGGGATGCCTCGGGATGGGGGTCCCACACTTGGGGGATGCCCGGGATGGAGGTCTCTCCTTCGGGGAATGCCCTGGAATGGGGGTCTCTCCTTCGGGGAATGCCCGGGATGGGGGTCCCTCACTCGGGGATGCACCAGAAAGGGGGTCCCTCACTCAGGGGATGCCCCAGGATGGGAGTCCCACACTCGGGGGATGCCCCAGGATGGGAGTCTCTCACTCGGGAATGGCCAGGATGGAGGTCCATCACTCCGGGGACACCCAGGAGAGGGGTCCACACACGGGAAAGCCCTGGGATGGGGGTCCCTCACTCAGGGGTGCCCCAAAATGGGGGTCCCTTACTTGGGAACGCCCCAGGATGGGGGTCCCTCACTTGGGGGATGCACCATGATGGGGGTCCCTCACTCGGAGAATGCCCCAGGATGGGGGTCCCTCACTCGGGGGATGCACCATGATGGGGGTCCCTCATTCGGAGACACCCGGGATGGGGGTCTCTCACTTAGGGCATGCCCGGGGATGGGGGTCCCTCATTCGGAGACACCCGGGATGGGGGTCTCTCACTTAGGGCATGCCCGGTATGGGGGTCCCTCAGTCGGGAGATGCCCAGGATGGGGGTCCCTCACTCAGGGAATGCTCCGGTATGGGGGTCTCCACTCGAGGGATGCCCGGGATGGGGGTCCCTCACTTGGGGATGCCCAGGATGGGGGTCCTTCACTCGGGGGATGCACTGGGATGGGGGGTCCTCACTCAGGGGATGCCTGGGATGGGCGTTCCTCAGTCGGGGGATGCCCAGGACAGGGGTCCCTCACTCAGGGAATGCTCCGGTATGGGGGTCTCCACTCGAGGGATGCCCCAGGATGGGGGTCTCTCACTCGAGAGATGCCCAGGATGGGGGTCCCTCACTTAGGGCATGCCCGGCATGGGGGTCCCTCAGTCGGGGGATGCCCAGCATGGGGGTCCCTCACTCAGGGAATGCTCCGGTATGGGGGTCCCCACTCGAGGGATGCCCGGGATGGGGGTCCCTCACTCGGGGATGCCCAGGATGGGGGTCCCTCACTCGGGGGATGCACCGGGATGGGGGCTCCTCACTCAGGGGATGCCTGGGATGGGGATCCCGCACTTGGGGATGATCTAGGATGGGGGTCCCTCACTCAGGAATGCTCCTGGGATGGGGGTCCCGCACTCGGGGATGCACCAGGATGGGAGTCCTGCACTCGGGGGATGCCCAGGATGGGGGTCCCTCACTCGCGGGATGCCCCAGGATGGGGGTCCCTCACTCGGGGGATGCCTGATATAGGGGTCCCTCACTCTGGGATTGCCCGGGATGAGGGTCCCTCACTCGGGGATGCCTCGGGATGGGGGTCCCTGCCATGAGGGGGTCCCATCCCGCTCCCTCCGTGCCCGCACAAGATGGCGGCGGTGAGGCCGTTGCCATGGCAACAGCCCCGGGGCTGGGATCGCTGTGCGGGACCGGGTGCGGGTCGGGGGCCGCGGGTCGGAGTGCGGGGCTGAGATCGCCGTGCGGGACCGGTTCCGGCCGCGATTACCGGCAGCGGTGCGGGGGAGCCCCGGCGCTGCTTCACTGCCCCCTTGGGCCGTCACCGCGAGCGGCGGCGTCCTGCCAGGCCCGTGCCCAGGCCGCGGCCCCACCGCATCGAGCCGGGCGGGCTCCACCGCAGCCCCGGGGCCGCCCCCGCTCCCGGAGCCCGGTTACAAAACCGGGCGGTGCGGGAGGGGCGGCTGCGCCCTAGGCGGGGATCGCGCACTCGGCGGTGCGGTACCGGCACCGGTACCCGTGCGGGCTCGCTGCCGGTGCCGCAGCCTGGCAGGCGGCGGTGCCCAAGCGGTTCCGCCGCTGTTCCGGTGCCGCAGCGGCCCCGGCCCGGCCAACGGGCAGCGCCGGCCGGTGGCGCAACCACGGCGGCCGCGTGACGGCCCCGCGCCCCGGGCGGGCGGGCGGCGGGACGGGGGGGGCCCGGCCCTGCGGCGCCGCGGGGGCGGCACCGACACCGACACCGGGCGGGGGGCGCATTTCGGGCCTCGGCATTCCTGGGGTGTGTGGGGCACCGGAGACTCCCTGAACGGGGTCAGGGGCCGCGGCGCGCACCCCACATGGAGGCACGGGGGGCACCCCGAGCAGGGCCATGGGGTGCGGGCGCTGTGGGCTCGCAGGGTGCGGGGGGTGAACGCACCCGGATTGCGGGGATGCGGGGGGGCCGCATCACGGGGTGCGGGGGTGCCCGCAGCACCGCGTGCGGGGGGCGCGGGGGAGCCGGCAGTGCGGCGTGCGGGGGGCGCAGGGATGCCCACAGCCCAGCGGGCGGGCTTGCGGGGGTGCAGGTGCTCCCGCATCACGGGTTGCGGGGGTGCCGCCGCCCCCCCGGTTCTCTCCGAGTCCCGTAAGCCGCTTTGCCCTGACGCTCGGTAAAGCCCCGGCGCGGCCTATTTACGGCAGCAGCGAGCCTAATCCCCGAGCGCTGCCGCGGGGGGAGCGGCCCGGAGACCCCCGCCGTGCCCGCGGCCGCGGGGTCCCGCTCGGCCCCGCTACCCTCGCCCCGCTACCCCCCCCGCCTCGCACCGAACCCGTGCGCTGCGGACTGCGGCAGCGGGAAGCGGCGGAGGGAACCGTGCTCGGGGGCTCCTCCGGAGCCTCCGCACCCTCCGCTCGCCGCCGGTACCCCTCACCCGAGCCCCGGACCCCCCGATCCCCCCGCGCCCCCCGCTCACCGGCCGGGCCGAGCTGCGCGGGGTCCGCTCGCTGCGCGCCGGGCGGGGCGGGGCCTGGACGGGGCGGGACTTTGTAGGGGGCGGGGACTGGGCGGGGCCCGGCCCGCTAATGCAGCGTAGGCCACAGGAGCTGATGAGGGGCTGGGCCTATTTGGGGGCGGGGCCAAGGGGGCCGTGCAGCAGAGCGCCCCCTGCTGGCGGCAGCGCGCACTCGTGGCGGGCGGCCCCGGCCCCGCCGCGTCACGCGTGGGGACGGTCACGCGCCCGCGGTGACGCGCAGGGGATGGACACGTGTCACTCTGTCACCCCTGGGGATGGCCCGTGCACCTATATCATTCTTGTGTACCTCTGTGGGGCTTATTCCGTGTCCCCTTATCACTTCTGGGATCAGTCCCGTGTCCCCCGGTCACCCGTGGGGACGGTCACGCGCCCGCAGTGACACGCGAGGGGCGGCCACGTGTCCCCGTGTCACTCCTGGGGATGGCCCGTACGCCTACGTCATTCTCATGTACTTCTGTGGGGCTTTTCTGGTGTCCCCTTGTCATGTCTGGGGTCAGTTCTGTGTCCCCTGGTCACTCCTGGGGCTTATCTCATGTCCCCTTCTCATATCTGGGGTCAGTTCTGTGCCCCCTGGTCACTCCTGGGGACGGTCACGCGCCTGCGGTGACACGCGAGGGACAGCCACATGTCCCCCTGTCACCCCTGGGGATGGCCCGTGCGCCTATGCCATTCTCGTGTACCTCTATGGGGCTTATTCCGTGTCCCTTTGTTGCATCTGGGGTCAGTTCCGTGTCCCGTGGTCACTCGTGGCGACGGTCACGGGTCCCTCGCTCACACACATGGGACAGCCACATGTCCCCCTGTCACCCCTGGTCACTCAGGATGGCCAGTCACTTGTCCCCCTGTCACCCCTGGGGATGGCCCGTGCGCCTATGTCATTCTTGTGTAACTCTGTGGGGGCTTATTCCGTGTCCCTTTGTTGCATCTGGGGTCAGTTCCGTGTCCCCTGGTCACTCGTGGGGACGGTCACGGATCCCTCGGTCAGGCATGAGGGACAGCCACATGTCCCCCTGTCACCCCTGGGGATGACCCATGCGCCTACGTCATTCTCGTGTACCTCTGTGGGGCTTTTGCCGTGTTACCTTGTCACCTCTGGGGTCAGTTCCGTGTCCTCTGGTCACTCGTGGGGCCGGTCACGCACAAGGGACAGTCACTTGTCCCCCTGTCACCCGTGGTGCTGCTCCCGTGTCCCGCGTGTGGCCGGTCCTGCAGTCCCCGGTCCCCCTCTGCAGGACGGCCCCGCGTCCCCGTGTCCTGCGTGGGGGCTGTCCCGTGTCCCCACCCCGGTCCCGCCCCCCGCCCTTCCCCTTCCCGTTTTGGTCCCGTTTCGGTTTCTGTTCTCGGCCGGGGCGGAGCCTCGCAGCGTCCGGTGCGTGGGGGCCCCTGCCCCGCGGGGTGTGGGGGGACCCTGCCGGGGGGTGTGGGACCTCCATGGGGCTGGGGGGTCCCGGGCGATCGGAGGGTCCCGGTCCGGGATGTGGGGACACCCTTCCGGAGAGTGTGGAACCTCTATGGGGCTGGGGGGATCCGGGGCGATCGGGGGGTCCCGATCCGGTGCGGGGTGGGGGGCTCTGTCGGGAGGTGTGGGACCCCCACGGAGCTGGGGGTTCCGGGGCCATCGGGGGGTCCCGGTCCGGTGCGGGGTGGGGGGGCTCTGCCGGGGGGTGTGGAATCCCCACGGGGCTGGGGAGGTGCGGGGCGATCGAGGGGTCCCGCCCTGGGGCGGGGGTCCCGGGGCTAAAGGGGGGTCCCCCCCGGGGACGCGGGGCCGAGGGGACCCTCGGTCCGGGGAGGGGCACGAACGGGGAGTTTGGGGAGGGGGCTTGGGGTCACGGGGCGTCCCAGAGGGTTGGGGAGGGAGGGGGCGTAAAGGAACCCAGCCCCATACGTGTGTGTGTCCCAGGATGGCCGGAGGGGTGCTGGAGGTGCGGGGGGTGCCCCCCGACGCCCCCGAGGAGCTGCTGGTGCTGTACTTCGAGAGCCGGCGGCGCTCGGGCGGGGGGCCCGTGCAGAGCTGCCAGCGCCTCGGGCCCCTCCTCTTCCTCACCTTCGAAGACCCCCAGGGTAAGCGTGGGCAGGGGGGCGTGTCCCGGTTCAGCTGGGAGCTCTGGGGTGGGATTTGGGGGTCACGGTCCCAAATGGGAGCACTGGGGTGGGATTTGGAGGTCTCAGTTGCAATGGAAGCACTGGGGTGGGATTTGGGGATCTCGGTCCTACTGAGATCGCGGGGATGGGGTGTGTGACCATCCCAGTCGCACTGGGAGCGCTGGGATGGGGTGTGGGGGATCCCAGTCCCAGCTGGGAGCACTGGGATTATGTTTGGAGCTCCCAGCCCCACTGGGAGCACTGGGATAGGGTGTGGGGGACCCAGTCCCTATTAGGAGCACTGGGATAGGGTCAGGGGGTTCCCAGCCCCACTGGGAGCGCTGGGATAGGGTGTGGGGGATCCCAGTCCCAGCTGGGAGCGCTGGGATGGGGTGTGGGGGTTCCCAGTCCCACTGGGATGGGCTGAGGGGTTCCCAGCCCTACTGGGAGCACTGGGTTGGGGTGTGGGGGTTCCCAGCCCCACTGGGAGCACTGGTGAGCGGTGCTGTGCCCCCGGGGGTCGCAGGGTGCTGGGTGAGTCCCCAGTGACCCTGCCTTCCCTCCCCAGATGCACAGAACGTGTTGGCCCACGGCAGCCACAGGCTCGGGGGGGCCGAGCTGGGGGTGCGTCCGGCCCCCCCCTGGGACCCCTCCCACCTGCTACTGCGGGGTCTGGAGCCCGGGACCCCCCCCGAGCACCTGGGGACCCTGCTGGGGGTGTCCCCTGGCACTGTCACCCTGTGCCAGGGCTCGGTGCCCGGCTGGAGCCTGCTGCGCCTGCAGGAGCCTCTGAGCCCCCCAGGTGGGACTGGGGACACTGGGGGGCACCAGGGTGGCATTTTGGGGTGCAGGTTCTGCCGGGTGCCCTGGTGCCAGGGGTGGGAGTATTGGGGGGCTTGAATGCTAATGGGCTGGGGGGTCTGGGGGACACACCAGGGTGGCATTTTGGGGCATGGGTTCTGCTGGGCACCCTGGTACCAGGGATGGGAGTATTGGGGGGCAGGGGGCTGATGGGCTGGGGGGTCTGGCGGTGACACCGGGGTGGTGTTTTGGGGTATGGGATCTGCCAGGTGCCCTGGTGCCGGGGGTGGGAGAGTTGAGTGGGTTGATGATCTTGGGGGGACACCAGGATGGCATTTTGGGACGCGGGTTCTGCCAGGTGCCCAGCCCTGGGCATGACAGCACCATGGGGGCGGTGGCCCGGCCATGGTGGCGGGAGTGGCACAGCCATGGTGGGGGTGGTGACACGGCCATGGTGGGGGCAGTGACATGGCCATGGTGGGGGCAGTAGCCCAGCAATGGTGATGGCAGTGGCAGGGCCATATTGGGGGCGGTGGCACAGCCATGGTGGGGGCAGTGACATGGCCATAGGGGGGGCGGTGGCACGGCCATGGTGGGGGCGATGGCATGGCCATGGTGGGGGCGGTGGCACGGCCACGGTGAGGGCAGTGGCACGGCCATGGTGGGGACGGTGGCAGGGCCATGGTGGGGGCGATGGCATGGCCTTGGTGGGGGCGGTGGCATGGCCACGGTGAGGGCGGTGGCACGGCCATGGTGGGGATGGTGGCAGGGCCATGGTGCAAGTGGTGGCACGGCCGTAGTGGAGGTGGTGGCGCAGCCATGGTGGGAGCAGTGACATGGCCACGGTGGAGGCAGTGACATGGCCATGGGGACGCGGTGGCACAGCCATGCTGGGGGCGATGGCATGGCCAGGGTGGGGGCAGTGGCACGGCCATGGTGGAGGTGGTGACATGGCCATGGGGACACGGTGGCAGGGCCATGGTGGGAGCAGTGGCAGGGCCGTGGTGGGGGCACGGTGTCACGGCCATGGAGACGCGGTGGCACGGCCATGGGGACGCGGTGCCAGCGCTGCCCGTGCCCCAGAGTTGGCATCGGCGGAGCAGCAGGCACGGCGGCGGGGACTGGCATTGCTGCGGGTACCACGGAGCCCCGCAGTGCGGGTGAGGGCACTGGGGACGGCGCTGGGCCGGGACCTGCTCGAGCTCTACTTTGAGAACCGGCGCAGTGGCGGCGGCCATGTCATCGACGTGCGGGTGCTGCCAGGGGGGCACGGGGCCATCGTCACCTTCCAGGAGCCAGCAGGTGAGGGCATGGTGCCAGGGTGCCAGGGCCGATTGCTCAGGGACAGGGTGATCATGGGCGCATGGGAATGGGGTGCCAAGGTGCCTTTGGTGCGGGAACAGGGTGGTGAGGTGGGCACACTGGCACACTGCACAGGAACAGGGTGATAATGGGTGCATGGGAATGAGGTGCCAAGATGGGCACAGTGCCCTCAGTATGGAATGGGATGGTGAGGTTAGCACAGTGCCATTTGCGCAGGATTGGGGTGATCATGGGGGCATGGGAATGGGGTGGTGAGGTGGGCATGGTGCCCTTGGTGTGGGAACAGGGTAGTGAGGTGGGCATGGTGCCATTTGCCCAGGAACAGGCTGATCATGTGTGCATGAGAATGGGGTGCCAAGGTAGGCACGATGCCCTTGGTGTGGAAAGAGATGGTGAGGTGGGCACAGTGCCCTTGGTGCAGGAATGGGGTGCCAAGGTGGGCATGGTGCCATTTGCACAGGAACAGGTGATCATGGGTGCATGCGAATGGGGTGCCAAGGTGGGCACGGTGCCCTTGGTGCGGGACTAGGGTGGTGGGGTGGTCACAGTGCCATTTGCAAAGGAACAGGGTGATCATGGGTGGATGGGAATGGGATGCCAAGGTGGGCACAGTGCCCTTGGTGTGGAGTGGGGTGCCAAGCAGGGCTTGGTGCCATTTGCACAGGATTGGGGTGATCATGGGTGCATGGGAATGGGGTGCCAAGGTGGGCACGGTGCTCTTGGTGGGGGAACAGAGTGGTGAGGTGGGCACGGTGCCATTTGCACAGGAACAGGTTGATCGTGGGAGCATGGGAATGGGGTGCCAAGGTGGACACGATGTCCTCAGTATGTAATGGGGTGGTGAGGTGGGCACAGTGCCATTTGCACAGAGACTAGTGGTCATGGGTGGATGGGAAGGGGGTGCCAAAGTGGGCACAGTGCCATTGGTGTGGAAAGGGGTGGTGAGATGGGCACAGTGCCATTTGCAGAGGAACAGGGTGATCATGGGGACATGGGAAGGGGGTGCCGAGGTGGGCACAGTGCCATTTGTACAGGAACAGGGTGATCATGGGGACATGGGAAGGGGGTGCCAAGGTGGGCATGGTGCCATTTGCAGAGGAACGGGGTGATCACAGGAGCACAGGGAGCCGCTCTGTGCCACCAGCTGCCCATCCTTGTGTCCCCACAGCCGCGGAGCGGGTGCTGCAGAGGCCACACCGGCTGCAGGACACGGTGCTGGAGCTCACCCCCCACTTTCCCTTCCTGGAGCTGCTGGAGGAGAACACGGACGTGCCCCCGGATGCTGTCCCTGCTCCGGACAGAGCCTCTCCTCCTGACACGGAGCCCCTGCTGGTCAGGGAGCCCTTGCTGGACACAGATTGCCCGCCGGACTCAGTGCCAACCTCAGACCCTGCTGTGGCACACACGAACCCCACACCGGACACGGCGCCAGCGCCAGCAGTGCCAACATCACACCCGGGGCCCGGGCAGCCCCCAAACACCTTCCCCAGCAGGGACACGGACAAAGAGGGGCTCAGGGCCATGCCCAGCCAGGCCAAGCCCCCCAGGCCCGTGTCGGTGGTGGTGCCAGAGCCGGTGTCAGCAGTGTCGGTGCAGGACGAGGCGCTGGTGCCAGTGGAGCCGGGAGCCGTGCGCTACCTGCAGCAGCACTACCAGGACGTGCTCAGCAGCGTCCCCGAAGTGTCCCTGCTGCCACTGGAGGGGGGGGACATCTCTGGCTTCCGGGTGAGCTGCAGGCAGGGGTAGAAGTGACAGAGTTCATAGAATGACTAGGTTGGAAGAGACCTTAAAGAGCATCGAGTGCAGGGGTGTGGGCAGGTAAAGGCAGGTGTGGGCAGGTGCAAGCAGGTGTGGGCAGGTACAGGCAGGTGCAGACAGGTGTGGGCAGATGCAGACAGGAGTGGGCAGGTACAGGCAGGTGTGGGCAGGTGCAGAAAGGTGCAGGGAGATGTGGGCAGGTGCAGGCAGCAGTGCAGGGAGGTGCAGGTAGGTGTAGGCAGGATTGTGGGCAGGTATAGGCAGCAATGGAGGGAGATGCGAGTAGGTGTGGACAGGTTCAGACAGGTGTGGGCAGATACAGACAGGTGCAAACATGTCTGGGCAGGTACAGGCAGCAGTGCAGGAAGGTACAGGTAGGTGTGGGCAGGTGCAAGCAGGGGTGTCGGCAGGTACAGACAGGTGTAGGCAGCGGTACTGGCAGGTGCAGGCAGGTGTGAGCAATTGTAGGTAGGGGTGTGGGCAGGTATAGGTAGGTGTGGGCAGGTGCAGGCAGGTGTAGGCAGGGGTGTGAGCACGTGCAAGCAGGTGCAGGCAGCAGAGCAGGGAGGTACAGGTAGGTACAGGCAGATATAGACAGGTGCAGGTAGGTGTGGGCAGATGCAGGCAGGTGTGGGCAGGTGCAGACAGGTGCAGGCAGGTGCAGACAGCAGTGCAGGCAGGTGTGGGCAGGGGTCTCTGCTGCACCCCCACCTCCTCATGCTCACAGCACATCCTCGTGCCAGGGGCTGCCAACCCCGTGGTGCTGCCCACGCTGCCTGCAGGTGAGTGGGGAGCTGGGCAGGCACTGGTGCCCAGGTGCCAACCCTTTGCCCCTCTGCTGACAGGTGAGCGGGGAGCTTGGCCGGTGCCAGGCCATGGCGGATTTCCTGCAGAGCCTGCTGGACTCTGTGGCCTCGCACTCCACCACCCTGCACTTCCCGGGTGTTGCCCGCTTCCTGCGGGACCTGGCTGGGCAGAGCCTCCTGCAGCAGCTGGAGAGCCGCTTCCAGTGCGTCATCCAGCTGGAGGGTGAACCCTGGAGCCCTCCAGATACCCAGGTGCAGCCTCGTGGGGAGGGAGGGGTCTGGCAAGTGGGTGCCATTGTGCTGGTCCCTGCTGTGCCACAGCAGCGTTGGTGATGCCACCCTTTGTCCCCACAGCTGGAGTTGGAGGAACTGCTGCCCCCAAGCAGGGAGCCCCGGCCACGCTCCTGGCACCAGGACCTGCCTGAGGGCCACAATGCCGCTGCTGATGGCGATGGGGATGGTGGTGACCACGGCTTCCATTCCAGTGCAGGTGAGGGGCGAGGGTGACACTTTGGTGCCCGCTCTGTGGGTGCTGCGGTGGGATGAGGAGGCCACAGGTGCTGGTCCTCCCCAGGACATGGTGGTGGGGCCTCATGGCTGACACCCCACTGCTCCCACAGAGGAGATCAAGGAGTTGCTGGCAGCGCTGCGCCCGAGCGACGCCGACAGCCGTGGCAGCCCCGACCCGTGGCCTTACACCCTCCCTGGTGACGAGTGGGACCCCAACGCCGCGTTCATCTGTGCAGCCGGTGGCGATGGTGCCAAGGAGCTGCTGTCAGACACTGGGGTGGAGGAGGAGGAGGAGGAGGTGCAGATGGCCCTGGCCATCCAGTACTCCATGGACCACGCGAGGCACGAGCAGGAGGAGCTGGCGCGCGCCACCGCTCTGTCCCTGAGCTCCTACAGCCGTGAGCAGGAGCAGGAGCAGGCCCAGGAGGATGCCAGGCTGCTGGCCGCACGGGAGGCCTCGCTGGAGGAGGCGCTGCTGGCAGCGGACACGGCACGGGTGACGGTGTTCTGCTCCTCCGAGCGGGACGCCTCAGCGGCAGCGCGGGAGCTGGAGCGGGCGCTGGCGGGGCGGCTGCGGGCGCAGGACGTGGTGAGCGAGCGGCTGCGGGCACTGCCAGCTGCCAGGCGCTGCGCGCTGGTGCTGCTGCGGTGCCGGCACACTGTGCAGCTCAGTCTGCGCGGTGACACCGCCACGCTGCGCGGTTTCGCCGACTACACGGCCCTGGCTGCCCAAGAGCTCGCCTTGCTGCTCCACCGCCTGCCACCGCCGGGGCATGGTGCCACCGCTGCCACTGCTGCCACCGCTGACCCCACTGCCACCGCTGCCACTGCTACCACCGCTGCCACCGCGCACTGGGTGCGCTGGGACCCCTCTGGCACTGCTGTCCCCTATGCCCCCGAGGCAGCGGCGCTGCTGGAGCAGGCCTGGTCGCGTCAGGAGCGCCGGCTGGATCTGGTGCTGGATGGGCGGCCCTTCACCGTGGATTTGGAGCGCATGGAGGAGTTCGACTTCGGCAGCGCCAGCGCCGTGCCCGTCTGCCGCAGCCAGCCCCCGCTGGACAGCGCCTTCTTCCTGCTCGGTGCGTGTGGGTGCCATGGGGCCAGCCGTGCCTCTCGCTGTGCCCACGCTCACCAGGGCTTTATCCGTGTCTGGCAGGGCCAGAGGTGGCTGGGCTGGAGGAGGAGGTGCGGCTGATGGCGCTGGCTGAGGACTCGGAGGAGTTCGCTGACACGGTGCGCCACTTCTGCAGCACTCTGGAGGAGCTGCACAGCCAGATCAGCATCGTGCAGGTGGGGCTGGGCACAGGGGACCCCCAGGGTGTCCCCGTGGCGCAGCAGTGACACGGCGGTGCCCAACAGGTGCAGAAGCTGATTCATCCAGTGCTGTACAAGCAGTACCAGCTGAAGAAGGGCAGCGTGAAGCGGGCCTGTGCCGCCGGCACCGCCGTGGAGCGCGTCCTCTTCCATGGCACCACCAAGGCCTCCAGCTGCGAGATCTGCCTGCACGGCTTCAACCGCAGCTTCTGCGGGAAGAACGGTGAGCACTGGGCGCATGGGGGGGTGACCAGGGATGCCCTTGGTGCGGGCATGAGCACCACGGGGGGCACGGTGCCATCAGCATGGGAACAGGGCACCAAAGGAAGGCATGATGCCATCAGCATGAGAACAGGGCACCAAGGGGGGGCACGCTGCCATCAGCATGGGAACAGGACACCAAGGAGGGACATGCTATCACTGGCATGGGAACAGGGCACCAAGGCAGGGCATGGTGCCATCAGCATGGGAACAGGGCACCAAGGGGGGACATGGTGTCATTGGCATGGGAACAGGGCACCAAGGGGGGCATGGTGTCATTGGCATGGGTACAGGGTGTTCATGTTGGCATGATGCTGACAGCACCATGAGAACAGGGCACTGGGTGCCATTGGCATGGGAATGGGGTGCCAAGGTGGGCATGGTGCCATTGGTGTAGGAGCAGGGTGAAGAGGTGGGCACAGTGCCATTTGCACAAGAACAGGGTGATAATGGGTGCATGGGAAGGGGCTGGTGGCCAAGGTGGTGGTGCCAAGGTGGGCATGGTGCCATTTGCACAGGAACAGGGTGCTCATGGGTACATGGGAATGGGATGCCAAGGTATGCACAGTGCCATTGGTGTAGGAATGGGATGGTGAGGTGGGCACATTTGCACAGGAACAGGGTGATCATGGGTGCATGGGAATAGGGTGCCAAGGTGGGTATGGTACCCTCAGTGTGGAATGGGTGGTGAGATGGGCACAGTGCCATTTGCATAGTAACAGGGTGATCATGGGTGTGTGGGAATGGGGTGCCAAGTTGGGCACGGTGCCCTCAGTGTGGAATGGAGTGGTGAGGTGGGCACAGTGCCCTTGGTGTGGAACGGGGTGGTGGGGTGAGCACAGTTCCATTTGCACAGGAACAAGGTGATCATGAGTGCATGGGAAGGGGGTGCCAAGGTGGGCACGGTGCCATTGGTGTAGGAATGGGATGGTGAAGTGGGCACATTTGCACAGGAACAGGGTGATCACAGGTGCGTGGGAATGGGGTGCCAAGGTGGGCACGGTGCCCTCAGTGTGGAATTGGGTGCCAGTGTGGCCCCGGGGTGCCAATGTGCTCCCGGTGCCGCTGGCACACCCCCCGTGCCCCAGCTGATGCCCGTCCTGCAGCCACGCTCTACGGCCGCGGCGTTTACTTCGCGGTGCGCGCGGCGATCTCGGCGCGGGACCGCTACTCCCCCCCCAGCGCCGACGGGACCAAGTTCATCTTCATGGCCAAGGTGCTGACCGGGGAGTTCACGGCCGGGCGGCGGGGGCTGCGGGCACCCCCTCCGCGCGAGGGCTCCGGGGCGCCCCAGCGCTACCACAGCGTGGTGGATGACCCGCGGCAGCCCGACATCTTCGTCATCTTCAACGACACCCAGGCCTACCCGCAGTACCTCATCACCTGCCGCAGCCGCCACGGGGGCCCCCTCTGAGCCCCCCGGCAGGGGCTCTGCTGCAAGGACCCCTTTTTATCCTCTCAGCATCCCCTGGCACTGGTGCCAAAGTGGGGATTACGGTGTCCGGGGGCTCAAGGCGTGCAGGGATGTTCCTGCCCTGCCCGGGAGCTCACAGTGGGGGGATCCTCACTTGGGGACGCTCCTGGGCACCCTCGTGCCAGGGCAGGAGGTGGGCAGGAGGACTTTGGGTCACCTGTGTGACACCAGTGAAATTTAGAATGAAACTGAAAATAAAATTTGGAAATTTTAATCAATTGGAGTATTTTGCATGGCTGGGATTGAGGGGGGACTGGGAGAGGGGAGGGGAAGTTCCAGACCCAACTGGGAGCATTGGAATAGGGGGAATGTCTCAGTCCCAACTGGGAGCACTGGCATTGGGATGGATGGGGTCCCAGACCCAACTGGGAGCACTGGCATTGGGGTGGATGGGGTCCCAGACCCAACTGGGAGCACTGGCATTGGGGTGGATGGGGTCCCAGACCCAACTGGGGTCACTGGCATTGGGGTGGATGGGGTCCCAGACCCAACTGGGAGCGCTGGGAGTGGGGTCAGGCAGGAACCTGGCTGTGTGTGGGTGCTGTGTCCCCCAGTGAGGTGGCTGTGTGGGGTGGTGGCTCTGGGCCACCAGAGGGCTGAACCTGGCCACTCCTGCACCTCTGCCTGTTTCCTGCACCCTTCTTTCTCCTCACCTGCTCCCTGCCTGCACCTACCTGTATCCTGCTCCCCACCTGCACCTCTGCCTGTTCCCTGCATCCTTCCTGCTCCTCACCTGTTCCCTGCCTGCACCCTACCTGCATCCTGCTCCTCACTTGCTCCCTGCCTCCTCCCTACCTGTATCCTGCTCCCTTCCTGCTCCTCACCTGCTCCCTGCCTGCTCCCTGCTTCCTCCCTCCTCCCTGCCTCTTTCCTACCTGCACCCTGCTCCTCACCTGCACCTCTGCCTGTTCCCTGCACCCTTCCTGCTTCCCACCTGCACCCTGCCCCCTCCCTACCTGCTCCCCACCTTTCTTACCTCCTCTCTACCTGCATCGTGCTCCCTGTTTCCTCCCTGCTCCCCACCTGCTTCCTCCCTGCACCCTACCTGCATCCATCCTGCTCCTCACCCGCTCTCTCCCTGCTCCCTGCCTGTTCCTCTGTCCCCCTGCACCCCAAGCTGTGCTGGGGGGACCCCGGTGCCCACCCTGTGGATGTGGGCAGAGCCCCCGCCGTGGGCAGTGCTGCCAGCACTGCTGCCCACCGGGTGAGACCCTCCAGCAGACAGCAGCAGGGTGAGGCGGGGTGCGCAGTGTGCCCTGTTGCCCGCTGAGATGCCCCGGGTGCGTAAGGGCAGGGCTGGGGGTCTCGGTGACCCCCGCGCCCCTTTGGGGACCCCACACGGGGTGGGCACAAGGGTGACACCAGCGGCACAAGGAAGTGGGCACAAGGGTGGCACCAGCGGCCCCGGCCTCGCGGGCACGGGCAGCTCCCGGGCAGGGTGCGGTGGCACCGCGCCGGCGTGTGCCAGCCCCGCTGACGTGTGCCAGCGCTGGGATCCCGGCGGGCACCGTGCCAGCCGTGCCAGCCCCACGCACGTGGCGCCAGCCCCGCTCCCCGCGGAGCGCCGGCGGGTGGAGGTGAGAGCCCGGAGGGTCGGGGGTGCGAGAGGGGTCCTGGCCGCACGCCCACCCCCTCTGCAGAGTCCGGTGCCCCGCGCCCCGCGGGTGCCCCGGGCGGGGAGTGCCCGGCGCTGCCGGTGCCAAGCGTGCCGGACCTTTGTCCCCTGACGCCGAGGGGCCCGCGGGGCCCAGCGCGGCTGAAAAAGGCCCTTTGTCCGGCTCTGGCCGGGGGATTCGCTCCCTGCGCCCGTGCCGGCACCGGCACATGACCGCGGAAGGAGCGGCTGCGCCAGCACCGGATCCGGACGGACGGAGCGAGCGGCAGCCCCGGTACGGCCGCAGCGGGAGCGGGCGGGGGTCTGAGCCTTGTCCCCCTCACGGCAGGTACCACGGAGGGGACAGAGGGACCGGGACAGGATCCCGACCTCGGCGCTGCCCCGGTGTCGGATCCCGGGGGTCCTCACGCCTCCCCGCTCCGGGGTGCTGGGGGGTCTCTGACCCCGCGGGGTGGGTGCGGTGGTGCTGGGGTTGTCGGGGTCAGTTCGGCACGCGATGGCCCCGATGAGGCTGGGGGTCGGGGGGCTGTGCCACGCCAGCAGCTGGATGTGGCAGGGGGCTCCGGGGCTCTCTGTAGCCCCCGAGGCCCCCCTAGTGCATATGTGTGTGTGTGTTTGTGCACAGGTGTGTTCTCTGTGCACACTGCGGTGCTTGAACCAGGGCGTGACTGCAGCCGCCGGGGCTGGACACACCCGTGTCCACCCGTGTCCACCACACCCAGGTGTGCTCACGCACTGGGGGGCTGCACACACGCCTGCTCTCCGCTCCAGCTCCCTTTCCCGGTACCGGCTCCGGTTCCTGGCACCAGCTCTGGTTCCAGCTCCTGCTCCTGGTTCCAGCTCCAGCCCCTGGTTCCAGCTCCTTTTTCTGCTTCCAGCGCCTTTTTCTGGTACCAGCTCCTGTTCCTGGTTCCAGCTCCAGCTCTCGGCACCAGCTCCGGGACCTGGCAACAGCTCTGGCTCCCAGCACCAGCTCTGGATCAAGGCACCGGTTCCCAGCCCCGGTTCCCAGCGCTGATCCCCGTCCCTAATCCCATCTCCCCACAGAGGATCCGCGGCTCCTCAGCCTCCCCAGCCATCCTGCTGCAGCGCTGGAGGCTGGAGCCGTGCTCTGTTCTCCGGCCAGAAGAGAGGCTGCTGGCCGGCAGGGTGTGAGCACCGTGCCAGGGCCGTGCCAGAACCGTGCCAGGGCCGTGCCAAGGCTCCCGTCTCTGCCCTCCGGCACCGCGCTCCCCTGGGCTCTGAATGCGGCAGCCGGCCGCCGTCAGACGTGCCGCTGATGGGCCAGCGCTGTGCCGGGGATGCGGCCGCGTTGTGCCAGTGCTGGGCCGGTGCTGGGCCGGTGTTGAGCCGGTGCTGGGCCGGTGCTGAGCCGGTGCTGGGCCGGTGCTGGGCCGGTTCTGGGCCGGTGCTGGGCCGGTTCTGGGCCGGTGCTGGGCAGGAGCTGGGCCGGTTCTGGGCCCACAATTGAGCGCCCAGCGGGGCGGGCGGTGCCGAGCGGCTGCGGGACTTCCCTGCGGGAGCGCGGGGCGGGACCGGCTCCGCCGGGAGCGCTGGGCGGGGTTCGCCCTCTCCACACTGGTTGCAGCGGGGAGGGTTAACCCTCTCCGCGGTTGGTGTGTTGGTCACAGCCACCCTCTCCGGACTGGGTGTACTGGTCAGTTAACCCCTGCCTGCCCGGTGTACTGGGAGCGCTGGTCAGGGTTAACCCTCTCCATACTGGATGTACTGGGGAGAGTTAATCCTCTGCGGATTGGGTGTGCAGGGGAGGGTTAACCTGCTCCGTACGGAGTGTACTGGGTGCGCTGGTCACAGTTAACCCGTGCCGTGCTGATGAAACTGGGTGCGCTGGTCACAGTCAACCCGTGCCGTGCTGGCCGCTGTACTGGGTGCGCTGGTCACAGTTAACCCGTGCCGTGCTGATGAAACTGGGTGCGCTGGTCACAGTTAACCCGTGCCGTGCTGGCTGTACTGGGAGCACTGGCCGGAGTTGGCCCCCCATTCTGGCTGTACTGGGAGCACTGGTCGGGGTTAGCCCCTGATTCTGGCTGTACTGGGAGCACTGGTCAGGGTTACCCCCTGGTTCTGGCTGTACTGGGGGCACTGGTCAGGGTTACCCCCTGATTCTGGCTGTACTGGCAGCACTGGTCAGGGTTGGCCCCTGGTTCTGGCTGTACTGGGGGCACTGGTCAGGGTTACCCCCTGGTTCTGGCTGTACTGGGAGCACTGGTGAGAGTTGCCCCCTGGTTCTGGCTGTACTGGGAGCACTGGCCGGTGCTGTCCCCTGGTTCTGGCTGTACTAGGAGCGCTGGTCGGCATTGGCCCCCCATTCTGGCTGTACTGGGAGCGCTGGTCGGCGTTAATCCTTCCCGCGCCGGGTGCCGGGGGTGCCTCCCCCGCGGGGTGCGCGGCTGTGGAGGGTGGGGCGCTGCCATAAGGCGCCCCCCGCTGCCCGCCCCCCGCCCCGCCCCTGCCGCGAAGCCAGAGCCAGAGCCGGAGCCGGTGCCGGTGCGGGCGGAGCCCCCGGGGTCATTTTCCCCCGGAGCCCCCGCGCTACCGGTGCCGGTGCTCCCCGCCGGTGCCGCATCCCCTCCGGAGCCCTCCCGGTGCCGGCGCCGTTCTCCCCCCCGGTCATGCCCCCCCGGCGCGTCTTGGCGGAGATCGTGGCGCTCGGTGAGTCCCCGCGCGTGGGACCCCTCTCGCCCACTCCCCCGTGGGGTCGGGAGCGGCGGGGGTGAGGGGGATTGGAGGATGCTGCGGGGCTGCCGCAGGGCTGGGCGCGGAGGGGGGGCTGCGGCGTGGAGGGTGGTGCGGGAGGGCTGTGCTGGGGGCTCGAGGGGTGTTTGGGTGCTCAGACCCGAGTCTGGGGGCGCGGGGGTCCCTGCGATCCCCCTGCGGTGCGGGGAGGCGGCGCCAGGCCTGGGGCGGAGGGGCTGCTCGGGGGACGTGGGCGATGGAGCCGCTGACTCAGGCTTGGCACCGCGCTGTGCCCCACGCCCGCCCCCGCCTGCTCCCCCTCACTTTGCCCCCTACGCCCGCCCCCCAGCTCTTCCCCACGCCCACCCCACTGCCGGGGGTCCCGGTGATGCCCGTGGGTCTGGGGGTGCCGGTGATGCCGGTGAGTCTGGGGTGCCGGTGATGCCCGTGGGTCTGGGGGTGCCGGTGATGCCCGTGAGTCTGGGGGTGCCGGTGATGCCCGATGGGTCTGGGGGCGCCGGTGATGCCCGTGGGTCTGGGGGTGCCGCTGATGCCCGTGGGTCTGGGGGTGCCGGTGATGCCGAGGGTCTGGGGGTGCCGATGATGTCCGTGGGTCTGAGGGTGCCGCTGATGCCGAGGGTCTGGGGGTGCTGGTGATGCCCTGGGTCTGGCGGTGCTAGGGATGCCGTGGGTCTGGGGGCGCCGGTGATGTCGGTCACTCCGGGGTCCCAGGGCGCCGGGAGGGCCGAGCGCTGTGGTGTCGGTGATGTCGGTGGGTCCCGGTGCTGGGCCCGGTGGTGCCGGGCCCGGTGACTTTCCGGGGTTCGGAGCTTCTGCAAATGGCGCCTGGGCCGCGGCAAACGCCCGGTGCTGCCGGCTCCCCGGGGAACGAGCCCGAGCCGGTGCCGGGGCTGCGGTGGCGCCGGGGCTGCGGTGGGATGGCGGAGGCGCCGGGATCGCGGAGGTGTCGGGATGCTGGGGGCAGGATCACGGAGATGCCGGCGTAGCGGAGGCAGCGGGATGGCGGAGGTGCCGGGATGGCGGGGGCGGGATCACGGAGGTGCCGGGATGATGGAGGCGGGATGGCGGAGGTGCCGGCATGGAGGGGGCAGGATCACGGAGGTGCCGGCATCACGGAGTCATCGCTGCCGGCAGCCTCCGTCCGCTCTCCTGGGAGCGCTCCCAGCACCGAGGGGCTGCAGCCGGCACCGACCCCGCGGGCCGCCCGAACCGCGGCCGAGCCCCGGCCGAACCCCGCAGCCGCTGCGAGACACGGAGCCGGCCTGGCCCGGTGCACCGGTGCGGTCTCGTCTGCCACGCTTTCGGTCCGGCTGCTCCACCCGTGTGCGCCCCGGCTGCGGCGGCACCGCGGGCGAGTTCCCGGTGCCGGACCAGCCATTGCCGCCACTCCCTGGCCATCCCTTCGCCGCGGTGGCCCCGTGGGGACCGTGTCCCTAGCGACAGCGCCGCGCACGGCCCGGCTCGGCACGGACCCCGCTTTCCCGGGGCTGTCCCGAGGCGTTCCAGTGATTCCGCCGGGCGCTGCACCGGGAGCCGCCGGTGCTGCGGTCCCGGTGTCCCTAGCACCGCCTCTCTGCCGCAGGAGCCGGGGTCGGCGGTACCGGGGGTCCCTGAAGCGAGAGAGAAGGAGGTGGCAATGCCGGGGGTCTCTGGTGCTCTGGTACTGGGGGTGTCTGAAGCCAGAGAGGGGGCGGTAGCGATGCCAGGGGTCTCCGGTGACCCGGTGCCAGGGGTCCCTAAAGCGAGAAGGAAGGAGGTGGCAATGCCGGGGGTCTCTGGTGCCCGGTACCGAGGGACCCTGAAGGGAGAGGAGGGGCAGCGGTTGTGCTGGGGGTCTCTGGTGCCCAGCGTCGGGGGTCCCTGAAGCGAGAAGGAAGGAGGTGGCGGTGCCGGGGGTCTCTGATGCCCCGGTACCGGGAGTCCCTGGAGCGAGGGGGGGGGCGGTGGTGGTGCCAGGGGTCTCTGGTGCCCGGTACCGGAGGTCCCCGAAGCCAGAGGGGGAGCGGTAGCGATGCCGGGGGTCCCCGGTGCCCGGTGCTGGGGCTCCCTGCAGCAAGAGAGAGGGCAGTGGTGATGTCGGGGGTCTCTGGTGTCAGGTACCGGGGGTCCCTGAAAGGAGAGGGGAGTGGTGGCGATGCCAGGGATCCCTGGTGCTCTGGTGCCGAGGGTCCCTGAAACGAGAGGGGAGCAGTGGCGGTACCGGGGGTCTCTGGTCCTCTGGTACCGGGGGTCCCTGAAGCGAGGGAGGGCAGTGGCTGTGTGGGGGCCCCTGGTGCCCGGTGCCCGGGGGTCCCTGAAAGGAGAAGAAGGAGGTGGAGGTTCCGAGCGTCCCTGGTGCCCGGTACCGGGGGTCCCTGAAGGGAGAAGGGGGGGTAGTGGTGACGCCGGGGGTCCCTGAAGCGAGAGGGAAAGAGGTGGCTGTGCCGGAGGTCTCTGGTGCTCTGGTAGCAGGGGTCCCTGAAGGGAGAGGGGAGCGGTGGCGATGCCGGGGGTCCCTGGTGCCCGGTGCCGAGGGATCCCGGAGGGGAGAGGGGAGCGGTGGCGATGCCAGGGGTCCCTGGTGCCCGGTGCCCGGGGGTCCCTGAAGCAAGAAGTAAGGAAGTGGCAATGCCCGGGGTCCCTGGTGCCCCGGTACCGGGGGTCCCTGGAGCGAGAGGGGAAGATATGACAGTGCCAGAGGTCCCTGGTGCCCTGGTACCGGGGGTCCCTAGCGTAAGAAGGTGATGGTGCCGGCGGTCCCTAGGGTTTGAAGGCGGTGGTTCCGGTACTGGGGGTCCCTGAAGCGAGAGGGCAGGGGCGATGCCAGGGGTCCCTGGTGCCCAGTGCTGGGGGTCCCCAGCATACGAAGGTGGCCGTCCCGGTACCGGGGCTCCCTAGCGTTCGAAGGCGGGGGTCCCGCTACCAGGGTTCCCTGGTGCCCGGTGCCGGGGGTCCCTAGCATACGAATGCGGTGGTCTCGGTGCCTGGGTGCCCGGTGCCGGGGGTCCGTAGCGTACGAACGCCGTGGTCCCGGTACCGGGGGTCCCTGACGCCGTCCCTCTGTCGCAGGAGCCGGGGTCGGCGGCGATGGCGGAGGAGAGCTCGAGCGGCAGCAGCGGCTCGCCTGGCGCCGGGGACACGCTGCCCTGGAACCTGGGCAAGCACCAGCGCTCCCAGCGCGCCAAGGCGGCCGCGGGCAACGGGACGGTGCTGGACCCCGCCGAGAGAGCCGTCATCCGCATCGCAGGTACGGCCCGGGGGCGGGAGCGCGTCCGGGGGGCCGGGGCGTGTCCAGGGGGTCGGGCCGTGTCGGGGGGGCTTGGAATGAGCCTCTGTGGGGTGGTGGGGGTCGGGACGTGTCCGGGGCTCTGGTACGTGACCCGGTGCTCGGGGGGATGGAGGGGTCGGCGGTGTCTGGAGGCCCGTGGAGCGATGCCGTGGGGGTCCCACGGGGGCCGGGACATGGAGGGGGGACACAGCGCTGGGAGCTGTGCTGAGGTCGGGGCAGTGAAGCCGCGATGGGGGATGCCGTGCCGAGCTGTGCCGTGCTGTGCTGTGCCGAGCCGTCCCCGTACAGCTGCCAGCGCATCCCCATAAAATGCTCAGCGTTTCCCCCCCATAGATCGCTCAGCCCCCGCCGCGGCACAGAGCCCTCCCCCCCGGCTATTTCCGTTCCACCTCCCTGTCCTTCCCCGCCTCCCTCCCTCCCCGCCCCCCCTCACCCCCCCGCGCTGTCCCCGCTCGAGTTTCGGGGCATTAATGTCTATTTTTAGGGATGACGATGCCCCGTCCCATGGGGCCGGTGTGTCTCTCCCCCCCGCCCCTCAGCTCGCCCACGGCCGGGATTGAGCTCCGAGGGGGGGGGTGTTGGGGGTCGCGGTGGGGCCGTGCCCCTCAGGTGGCACTGGGCACGGAGCTTTGAAAATCCCTCGGTTTTTAAAAATCCGGGGGCTGTGATGTCCCTGTCCCCAGCCGGAGGGGACGCGGGGGTCTCTGAGAGGGGCTGAGCATTCACCAGGGGAGGGGGCGCCGGGTCTGCCCCACGAGCGAGGGGAGGGAGGTCGGGGTGCGAATCGAGGGGGTCCCTGAGCTGGCTGTGGGGTGCACCGGGTACCCCCAGCCCATCCTTCACCACCTGTGATCCCAGACCCACACTGTTCCCTAACACCTGCGACCCCAGCCCCACACTGTCCCCTGTCCCTTATCACCTGCCACCCCTGTCCCTTATCACCCACCCCTCGCGCTCCTCTGGGCACCCGTGGATGCCCCACGGACGGGGTCAGCACTATCGGGGTTCGGGCAGTGCCACATCCCCAGCACCGAGTGACCCTTTTGGGGCGCTTGGGGGACTTTCCTTGCCCCGTGCCCCGTGGGGTGCCCTGGCCCGTGGGGTGCCGTGCCCCACGGTGCCGTGTCCGTGGGTCGGTGCCGTGCCCGTGGGTCGGTGCCGTGTACGTGGGCGCCGTTTCCGCGCTGCGGGGCGGTGTCCGGCGGTTCCTTTAAAGGGCTGGGCGGGGGCACGCCCCGTCCCCAGTCCCGTCCCCAGTCCCGTCCCCTGTCCCGTGCCCCTGCCCAGCCGCGGGGTGCGGGGCCGCCGAGCCGCCGGACACGCCGGACACCCCGGGCCCTCCAGACCCCGGCCCCGGACCCCGCCCTCGCCCCCCCAAATCCGCCCCCCGCCGCCATGGCCGCCGCCGGGCCCCCTCCCGAGCCCGAGGAGCAGGACTTCATCCAGGCCTACGAGGACGTGCGGGAGCGCTACAAGGGTACGGGACCCCCGCCCCAGTCGGGCCGGCCGGGGGGCGCCGTGGGGCGCCGGCCGCGGGGGGGGGGCCCGGGGCAGCGCGGCCGCTCATTCCCATAATTGGGCACGGCGGGCACCGCCAGCCCCGGCACGGCCGGGGGGGCCGGCCCGGGGGAGCTGGGGGACACGGCCCGGCAGCGCCGACCCCGCGGGGACCCCCCCGGTCACTGCCCTCGGGGGGCTGGGGGGGCTCGGGGGGCTGGGGGGGCTCTGCCCGCGACCCCCGGAGCGACCGGAGGGGTCGGGGGCGGCGTGGTGGGGCGGGGGTGTCCCTCCGAGTGTCCTGGGGACAGAGGGGCTGCCGGGGGGCTGGGGGGGCGCGGAGGGGGCACTCAGGGTGGTCGGGGTGCGGTGGAGCGCCGGTGATCAGTGGTGGCTCTGGTGGCATCGGTGACATCGGTGGCATCGGTGGCATCGGTGGCATCGGTGGCATCGGTGGCATCTCGGGGTGCGAGCCCCGCGCCGTGAGGTGGCTCCGGCCCCGGCCGTGCCCCCGGTGCCTGGCGGTGGCCGAGGGCGCCCCGGTGTCGCGGCGTGGGGCGGCAGCGGCCGCGGCCATGCCCTTACATGGGAGCGGTGCTGCGTGCGGGGGGAGCCCCCCCGGGCCGAGCCGGGGGTCCCAGCTGTCCCCGCTGCGGGGTCCCGGCCGTCGGGGAGTCTGGCTGCTCCCCCAGAGGGGCACCGCGATGTTGGGGTGCTGGGAACGGCCTGCAGTCCCTGCCTGTGTCACCAACAGCTGTGGCACTGTCCCGTGTCCCCCGGCTGAGGGACCCTGGGGCACTTGGTGCTGTTAGGAGCGGCTCGGCGCGTCTGAGCCTGGCAGATCTCAGCACGGCCCGGGTGCCACCGGCAGGGGTGGCACAGGGTCTGGCAGCTGCTGGCAGGGGTTTACTGTCACCATGCAGTCCCACCTCCCTGGGCAGGTGTTCACTGTCACCGTGCTGTCCCATAGTGCCAGGTGCTGGCAGGTGTTCACTGTCACCGTGATGTGCCACCTCTCCAGGTGCTGGCAGGTGTTCATTGTCACTGTGCTGTCCCATCTCTCCAGGTGCTGGCAGGTGTTCATTGTCACCGTGCTGTGCCACCTCTCCAGGTGCTGGCAGGTGTTCATTGTCACTGTGCTGTCCCATCTCTCCAGGTGCTGGCAGGTGTTCATTGTCGCTGTGCTGTCCCATCTCTCCAGGTGCTGGCAGGTGTTCATTGTCACCGTGCTGTGCCACCTCTCCAGGTGCTGGCAGGTGTTCATTGTCACTGTGCTGTCCCATCTCTCCAGGTGCTGGCAGGTGTTCATTGTCGCTGTGCTGTGCCACCTCTCCAGGTGCTGGCAGGTGTTCATTGTCACCGTCCTGTGCCACCTCACTGGGTGCTGGCAGGTTCAGTGCTGTAGGTCCTGGGCCAGGTGTTTGCTGTCACTGTGTCACCTCACCTTGCCAGGTGCTGGTGCGTTTGGTGTCACTGTGTGACCCCACCTTGCTTGGTGCCAGGGTTTGGTGCTGTTGGACACGAGCTGTGCTCGGTGTCACTCCTCAGAGAGTGCCAGAGGGTTTGGCGTCACCACACAGATGGTTTGGTGTCACTACACAGTGCCACCTCACTAGGAACCAGCAGGGCACCTAGATTGGGGGTCCCTGTGCCCCCTTGCCAGGTGCTGGTGGGTTTGGTGTCACTGTCTGACCCCACCTTGCTTGGTGCTGGGGTTTGGTGCTGTTGGACACAAACTGGGCTCGGTGTCCCCATGCAGTCACTCCTCAGAGAGTGCCAGAGGGTTTGGTGTCACTGCACAGTCCCACCTCACTGGGTGCCAGCAGGGGACCGAGATTGGGGGTCCCTGTCCCACCTTGCCAGCTGCTGGTAGGTTTGGTGTCACTGTGTGACCCCACCTTGCTTGGTGCCAGCAGGGCACCTAGATTGGGGGTCCCTGTCCCACCTTGCCAGCTGCTGGCAGGTTTGGCGTCACTGTGTGACCCCACCTTGCTTGGTGCTGGGCTTTTGGACACGGACTGGGCTTGGTGTCACCATGCAGTCACTCCTCAGAGAGTGGCAGAGGGTTTGGTGTCACCGTGTGACCCCACGTTGCTTGGTGCCAGGGTTTGGTGCTGTTGGACACAGACTGTGCTCGATGTCACTCCTCAGAGAGTGCCAGAGGGTTTGGTGTCCCTGCACAGAGGTTTGGTGTCACTACACAGTGCCACCTCACTAGGAACCAGCAGGGCACCTAGATTGGGGGTCCCTGTGCCCCCTTGCCAGGTGCTGGCAGGTCTGTTGCCCTGGCCAGGGCTGGCTGTGGATGCCCGGTGGCTCAGTGGCCCGAGGGCAGTTTGTCTGCAGGGCTGGTGATGTCAGGGCTGAGCCAGCACAGCCGGGCAGGGTGACACAGCGGCAGTGACACAGCGGGGTGGGCACGGAGCCCATCGGGGCTGCTGATCCCTGCCAGCGGCTGGCACGTGCCATCCCTGAGGCCCAGAGCCCAGGGGACCCAACAGCCGCGCTGCCAGGGACTCTGCCACGCGTGGGGCAGGGCTGGAGGAGCTGTGGTGGCCCTGGCGTGGGGCTGGTGGGGGCCCTGGTGTGGGGCTGGGGACACCGAGGGTGCTGGGATCCCAAAGTGAAATGGGTGCAAAGCACCTCGTGCCCCTTTGTTGGAGCCATTAATGTGGCACAGGGCCTGGTGGGCGCCGAAGCCAGGCTGGAGGACACTGTCTCCACTGCCATCATCACCAGTGTCATTGTCACATTGTCACGTTGTCACATTGTCACCAGGCCTGGCACGGTGTTCATGCTCTGTCACCTGTGAGGGACAGCTGGGCCCTGGGACACCCCGGCCCTTCACCAGGGTTTGGGGTGGGGACTGTGCCAGGGTCCTGCCACGGTCCCTGAGATGGCTGGGGGTCACAGGGGCCATGCCACAATGCAGTGGCTGTGCCACAGTCCTTCCCAGTGTCCCTGGAGATGGCTGGGGGTCACAGTGGCCACAGTCCTTCCCAGTGTCCCTGGGGGTGGACAGTGGCCCAGTGGCTGCACTATGGTGACCATGCCACAGTCCTTCCTGGTGTCCCTGGGGCTTGGGGGCTGGCTGGTGTCCCTCCTGGTGTCCCTCCTGATGTCCCTGGGGCTTGGATGCTTGCCACTGTCCTCAGTGTAATGGCTACAGTGTGGTGGCCATGCCACAGCCCCTCCAGGTGTCCCCAGGGCTGGCTGGTGGCCACGGTGTGGTGCCCATGCCACAATCCTTGGTGTCCCCAGGGCTGGCTGGTGACCACAGTGTGATGGCTGTTCCGCAGTCTCTCCTCAGAGACTGGGTGGTGGCTGCAGTGGTCGGGGTGTGGTGGCAGTGTCAGGGTCCTGCTCAGTGTCCCCAGGGCTCGGGGGTGGCTGTGCTGTGGTGACCAGGGGCTGTGCTGGGTCCCTCCTGGTGTCCCTGGGGCTCAGGGCTTGGCCCGTGG